TATATTGGAAAACATGTTGCCTTAAAAAAATTAGGTATCGAAATTAAGTTCACACGATGATAAAAACAAGCTGAAGGAGTTTGAATTGACGCAATTAATGCTGCAAGATGAACTTTACTGCTATGACTGCGTAATCGAAATCCGATATGGGAACTGGATCTCATTTCCTAATTGATGTAACATAAACGCGTTAAAATTGATATGGTTTACCCCCAGAATTGTTTCATCTTACAATTGTGTATTCCAAATGATTATTATACATATTGGGAAATTAAAATTGTTGTAATAAAAATGCGTTAAATGACAATCTGCATATATAATGGTGTATTGACTATAATGTGCTTTCGTAGTAAAAATTCAGTTTCTAAATAACGATAATAGCAATTGTACTAAAGCAATACCGAAAAATTATTTTTAGCATTTTGAGCACTCTGTGGTATTTCCTCCTTTTTAAAAATTTTTCTCTACAAATTGCATTATTATTATCATTTTTATTCTCAGTTATATATTTTTGTCTACTTTATTTTTTATCGCTTTTGTTTTTGATATCATCTTAAACAGTTGCATTTTTTATAGAACTTTTTATCTCCCACGTTACGAAAGTTTACGTCGATTCCTCGAGGTAACGTCATAAATAACTTCATATCTTTTCAACTTTTAGGAGTTACGTTTTTTTTTTGGTAGTTTTATCGAATGTAGGTTTGACTTTTGTGAAAATTGTTTCCAAAGTTAGCTGACAGCAAAATCGTCAACATATTGACAAGTGGACGAGGGATGTAGTTTGGATTGTAAATTTCGCGCAGCGCAGCGAATTTATTTGCGACCTCGCGGCTTTGTGCTGACTAAACGGCAAATTAAAGTCGTCCAAACATAACTTCGATATTCAATTACGTCCGTTTTATCTGTTTGATAGAAAAATCGATCGTAGAACTGGGTCGATTCTGTCGTCTCGCGAGCGATAGTTGTAACGTAAGCGCGGCGAGAGAGGTGCGTCAAATGGCGCTGGCGAGGCAGCATATCTTATTAGAAACAAATATTCATGTCACATACCCGGCGCCGGCTGGTGCCAAGTGTTTGACTGTTACCCTACGCCGCACGTGCGTGAGAGACCGGGCAAGTCTGGCATATCTACCCCGTGTTTCAAAGAAGTTTGAAATAATATCGAGCGAATTTTTCCATTCGACCCGTAACCCCTTCTCGTTCCTCCACCCTCTGCCACCCTCCGTCGCGTCGAAATCCAAATAACCAACCGCAATGCATGTGTGCCTTCGTCCACTCGCTAGACATATTTTTAAAGTGCATTCGAGAAGACCTGTATTTGATGCGAATATTTGAGAGTAACGTCGTGTTTTTCTTCGTTTTTTTTCCAGATGCGCAGTATAAACGACACTTTGGAACGGCTGTTAAGGTATATTACTGACAATTATAATTACGGTATAATAGAATCCCGTTACAATAAGTGTTGAGACATTTCTTCTGAATTTTTTTTATACATACCAAGTCTTTTATATTAACTTCTGTATAAATAGTATACTATGCAGTTGGTCACACATTCAGACATTTCATTCTGTCGCAAATTATCTTTGTAATTATCTGTTAAAGTGCTCGAATGAAAAATTCAAAAATCATGATGTAAGTACTTTGTCAAATTTCATTACCTTTCGTGAACAAGATGTACCTGTTGTCTGGTGTCTATTGTAAAATTTTGCCACATTCGGTGCACTTCGACGGAAGTTATGATCAGAAAACCTAAAGGTGATATACTTTTGGCCGGTACTGTGTATAGAAAATATTGTATATGGTATATAAATTTTTTTTCACAGAATTTGTGACATTTTAAAAGATTTATTCATCGGTAATGATAAAAAGCAAAATAATTGAGATTAAACAATTGTTTGTAATAGACATTTTATAAGAAAGATAATTGCTCCTGTAGAACTACAAAGCTGTGGTTTATTAAAATTAACAGCTCAATTTATTAATAAACGGCGAATAAATAATGCGTAAATACACGGGAAAATACAATTTGCTTTAAAAAGTTTTTTATTCGTATATCGATCATATTTCAATATGTAAATGTTCAATATTTAATTTGAATCATACGGTGCAAAAGTCATCATTATACCATATCGATATTTACGGCAGAATACACACATTTTTAGATATAATATTCAATATCCTTCTTCTGTTACACAATAAATGATCAAGATAGGATATCGAATATTTTATTTAGAAATGTATTTTATAAAAATAATATCAACTGTACAATTTGAATATCAACTAATTAGATCATTTTTCTTAATTTTAATTTAAAATTTTTTAAATGAGAGAAACGTTCATACTAAATTGTTTGTTCTCAATAGGTTTTTTAAATGCGAGACTCCATTATCCTTTGGAGCAGTATCACAAAATATGTCATTTACTTTGATAAAAGAGTTTTTCCTAGATAAACGAATGAAATTACGGACGAAGTCTTGCCATATCTTCGGCCATTTGGAAAGAATTTGTGTTCAGAGCTTTATTGATTTGCAAAGATCCCAAGTTTTTTTTTGTGCTTGACTTTGTGCGAGGGTACATGTACTCAATATTAAATTCCTGAAGTATATTGGACTATCAACGCGTGCATCTCCGAGATAGAATGTAGTGCAACATCGAAATATCTCTCTCATTAAAAATAATTTCTTTTCACTTTGATATATCATACATTTATAATATGCATTAAATACCAACAAAAATGATATCAATTGTAGTTACTTAATCTATCACCATTAGGAAAAATTGAGGACATTACTTTCCATTTTTCTCCAATGACATTTTTTATCTGGATTTAAATTATTGACAAAATTTTAGAAAGATATGAAAATTCCGATATGGCCAGTTGCTAATCAGTTTGTGTGAAACTTACCTTCATGCTTGCACTTGCTCCGATATGCAGAATTGTCGTATGAAAGAGCTAAAAATTGCAATTTCTATGTTATCATTTTACATATAAATAAATTAATAGAATGTATCAATAGAACGTACACATATAAGCTTTCTTTTACTCGTTCATTAATTATGAAAATATATGCGAGTTCGTAATGTGAGGAGAAATCCTGGGCATAACGATGTATTATTAACAAAAACAATGGACTTCGTGTAACAACATACACAAGATAAGATCTTATCGATAGCTTCATATGCAACACGAAGCTGTCTTTATTCCGCCGTGATACTTGGTTACAGTATTGTTTCTTGTTCACAATTATTTACAGAATTATTCTCCTCTACCTTCTTACACGACTATATTTATACAATTCGCTCATCGCTCGTCGTTTTCAGTTAATCTCCGCTTATCAAGGTGATCGATTTGCTCGTACGTACAATTATACAAAATTACGCGAGCACTATGCATCACGCGCTGGGGAAAGACGCCGTCGAGAAATCATATCGAACGCTACTACGACTTTGCGATTATTATTTATACAGGAAGATAGCGTTTAGATTTGGTATACATTGTCGACGGTCGAACTTACCTTTACACGGGCAGCATTTCGTCATCTCGAGATATAATACTCGCATAAACGCCGAGAGTTCGTTCAAATACGGAACGCGATTGTCCCGTTTAACAACGCGAGGGTTGCAACTTCGTCTCTTAATGTACAAGTCGAATCGATTGCGCTCGTGAACGAAGACAATGCAATCCGTTTAATTAGCTTCTTGAACACTCATTGACAAGCGCGTAAGCACGTTTCGTATCCCGAAGGATTCTTAAAGCACATTTCCATCTCGCGAGGTATCCTCCATCGGGACCAAGATGATCTTAGGATACGTCTCGACTTACCGGGACTTATATAAATCTAACCAAGGAACCACCTTTCAACCGTGTGTTTCATTTTTATTATCTTACAAAAAGTATACAATACATCATATCGATTAAAACGCAATAGGAGAGTTACTTCGCGGTCAACACCAGAAGAATCGAGACACCTGTCTGCGATCGTATTGAAGAAGACACTCCGTGTTTAACAAAGTGTTTTGTAGCTTCGTTAGATTTGAATTTCTAAAAAAAACACTCTCTTTTTGAAACTTTTTATCGTAGAAGAGGGAAAATACAATTAACGAAAAGTTTTTTTTTTACAGGAAAGAAAAAATATAGAATCTCTAAAAGATTCAAGTTTGCTGATAAATAAAACTGATAGAATATGTGAACGATTGCCGGATGAAGGCCTCTTCGACAGTCTAAGTTAACTGCTTACCTTAAGATGACGCTTTTTTTATTTTAACTTGATCGACGATATGTCTATACTTTGGAGATATGCAATAAATGATATTGTCTTCTCTCGATCCTTCTGATGCTAATGAAATACGGCTTTATGATACCGAGTCTAAAGCTTAGCGGCGCTGGAAGAGGGGGGGGGGAGTTAGATATTTCTTAAAGGGTTGAGAAATCATTCTTCGCGCATCATGCACACCGCTAACAGTTCTCCACGTATTCGAAGTTTCGTTTTCTTGTATTGTCTGATATTACAGTCTGGGGGAGTATTTGGAAGCGCGAAAGGAGGAATGAGCCGCCGTAGGCTGCCGAGTGGCAGTGACATAACACGCAGCTGCCTGGATAACCGCCGCTGATAATCTCCAACGGACTACTTTAGGGATTTCGAGGGTGGTTCGCGGCCCTTGTACATCCCGCTACGCAGAAAATTCATCGACAGCTCTCGCGCGAGAACGGTTCTTTTTTCTCCGCACTACATGCATAATGCATTTGACTTCTCGAGAACTGTATCCCAGTATTGTCCGTCGCCGAACTCAAAGTTGGGAAATAAGCGCGGGGAATCCGATTATCCGCACGATCGGGGATTGAAAGACGAGATATCCTGAATCGTTCGAACGCAGTGGCTTTAATCGATCTTTATTTTCGCAAAATGTCTTCGTTTTCGCGAGACTCTGTGCTCACTTTTCTGCAAGGATAATTTCTTCGTCGCGAGCGTGAACGGTTTCTGTTCTTTTCCTTTTTTGGGGGGGTGAGATAGTACGTCAATGACACGAACTAAAAATGCTTTAAATTTACTTACTTCTTGCGTGCGCGCACGCGAGCACGTATCTGTGTGCGTGTTTGTGCAAGTTAACGCAGCTTCGAAACTCGATTGTGAAAACTACTGCACGAAGAGCGAAAAATTCTAGAACAGGTATTCGGCTCGGTTTTTTTTTGCAACGGTGTTTTCGTTCGATAAGGAAGATATGTTATTTACGACTCAATAAGCGCAAAGAAAAACTAACGACTGCAACAAGCCACGTTGCGAAAACTAAAGTAAATAAAAGAGGAGCCATGAAAAAGATAAGCATGGGTATACCGGAGCAAAAAGAGGACGAAAGTTCAGGAATCGTATACTATATCGACATTCTATTCGAAGGAAGGATCGTTAAAACGACAATATCACATAATTGAAGTAAAGTAAAGAAAAATAAATGAAATTTGCATCGCGCGAGGTATACGAATATTCGTACAACATCGCGAAACGCTGGGAGATAAAAACATAGCATTATTTCACACAATGTCAATGTGAATGCCGAAAGGGACGATCTACAGGGGCGATAATTCACGCAGATAAAAGGAAGTTGGCTAATTCTCCTTCCCCAAAACTCTTAAAACTTTATACCAGTTCAATCGACCCACTTAAGACTCATAAAACAAACTTCTCGAAGCTGTTCGATCGTGTCGTAGAAAAATCCGAAATCGTCTGGCAGTTAAAGTGCCAAAATATATCAATGTTGAAGCGTCCCGGGCGAAGAAGTGGCGTTTAAAAAACATTATCGATATTTCAATTGCACGTAGGAAGACACTGAGGGTCGATCGAACATCGACTCGCGAATCGTCCGTCCATCAGTCTCGGGGTCAGAAACGATCACCGTGTGTAATTTTCTATCATGTTAATCATTTTCGCACACCCCTTGTCGCACGGTTATCACGCTTCTGAGTGCTATTTAACGAATTAGGGGCGAAACTGGAGGAAATGTTTCGCACATAGGACATTTATCCCTTTGCGATGAGTCGCGAAATTACATTGATCGTTGCGACGTGTTGAAGTGTGCACTTCCGAAACTGCACCCTTCGCCTGGTATGTCGAAAACGGCGAGAAGCACCGACTGCGAGGGCGCGATAAACCAACAGTCGTGCAACCAGCTCGCATACGTAACTATCTGCGTCCCACGTGTATATCGCCTCGACGGGCTTACACGTCGTACCTCTCGGGGCTTTAATAAGCGTAACCGACGGAGATTAAGCGAGCGGCCGAGGGGGGCAGAGAAATCTACGAGCAGTCGCAGCCGGAGAGACTGGCTTGAAGGGCCGGCGCGAGGAGGTGTTGCGACTGCAGCTACGGCTGTAACTTTACAGAGACGACTACGCGACGTGGTCGAAACGGACCGGTAAGCTCGTTTGGAAGTCGTACGAAGGGACCATCGACATCTTCGGGCGCCGCGAGGATGTTGACGACGAGAACGGCGGTGAGAACGAGGACGTACGGCGGGCAAGGGCTTTTGGCGGACCGTCAAATCCTCCTGACTTTGGCCCTCGCCCGGCTCGACGGACCGTACGTCATGCGGTCGTTCGTGCCGCCCCGAGCCCTGCGGCGGATAATAATACCGCACAATTACTCCGCGGGCGCTGGAGTTCGCGAAAGAAGGGAAATAAAATCAGCATAAAGGCGAGAGCCGCCAAATGGCGGCCTCGGCGCGGCTTCTAATGAAAACGTGAGACAACGGAGGGCAATGGGGGGGAGGTAGGGCGGCGGAGTGGCCCTTAAATTAATTCACGATGAATTACGTCCGCGCCAGCTGCGCGGGCAGTTGTGTTTATTTATGGAGGAACTAAGATCTTCTTCCGCCAGTCCTTAAAGGCGGATTCGCCCTTATAATTTCTCACGGTGACCGAGAGAGAGGGCGGCCCACCTCTCCGCCGTTTCCCCGCGTCGCCGGATAGAGAGAGGGAGAGAGAGAAAGAGACGATAATCGCCCTGAAACGGGGATTCCCTCCGACGAAATAAGAGGGAACACGCTCGTCCGCGGCCTCGCAGGCTACGGGCGGCGTGTCGCAAACGAGCGTGATTTGGCCCGTCGGGGGAAAAAGCGTCGCGATTTTTTTTCTCGAGGGTTTTTTTTTCGGTCACCGAGAGAGCGACCATTCATTGGCCCTCGTGAGGACGCTTGAGGACGCTTCGCGAACTGGCCGGGGGGTTTTTTTTTTTTTTGCGACTGACCATTTCGACGTAGATTGCAGTGACGAATGTGGCACGTCGCATATTATATCGAACGCGAAATGGGCCATTGGTTAATTGAAGAGTTCCCCAGGAAAACGTTGCAAGCGACAAAATTTATCAGATATGCGGCGTTTCAGTGGAGCAACGTGCATCTGCAATATCGAGAGTATAAAGTAATATAAAGTAACGAGTCTGTCTCTTAAATCATGGAGAGTATCTCCTATATTTAATGTATGTCCAATGCATTTTGTCATGCATTTTAGAACAATGCTAGCAAATACTTTATAACCATTTTGCCAGTAAAACTTCCCTCTCTTTTTTTTTCGAATATCAATTTTACTTTGAAACTATAAACTATTTGCAGTAGAAACTTTATTGCAGGTTTTACCTCGAAATTAGGTAGAACGGGGAAAGATATTTGATATTTAACGTAAAAAAAAAAGTTCGAGATCGGTATTTAAGAACGACGAGGCGTGTGGGCGAGCCGATCGTGAAGGACAAATCGATCGAGACACACACGCGAGAATGGATTTTAATGGAAATTGGGCACGTATGACGCTCCTGCGAGAGAGCTGTGACGGCGAGTACCGAAAACGAACCGCGAAGCGTAACGAGACGCAATTTCGGTTGCCATAAAACTTCAAAACCAAGCACCCACGGGAACGCCCGATTTATTTAGCAAGTGAATACAAAACTGTCGCGGCGAGCGGTGCGTGGGAATCGATGCGATCGATTTTGTTATCTTTCCACGGTCGTGATAGATCCACTTTGTGGATTTTCGTCTGAAAGCAGGATGGAGATCCGAAAGCGGAATCGGAACAGCCAGATTGGACACGCCATTACGTCACGACGTTCGCTGTTACAACGTCAAGTATAATTAGAGAAATTACTGCGAAAACCGAATATCACGATAGCAACGATGGAATGGCTGGAGGCTTTGACAGTAATTGAAAATCTATCGGTACGGAACGTAAGCGCGCTATGGGGGAAATATAAAAATATAATTAGTATCATTCTCTCTCTAGACACACACTCTCGCTCCGTGTCCTCTTTCCTTTCACACACGAATTCTACTCACTTGAAGCAACTCGCGCCAGAAAACGATCGTTGCTGATCTATCGAACACTTATTAGTTGTTTGGCTCACACCGGAAACAAGCGGTCAGACATCACTTCCTGATCGTAGGACGCGCGATCGGTGAAACTCTTTATTGACTTATCACATTTTGATTGAGTTGCTCCTACAAGTCTCACTACAGCCTGCAATTTATACACCATGTAGATTTTTCAGAAACATCCTTTATCGCTTTAAATACCTCTCTCGCATATTTTAACTTTCATTAAAACCGGTAATTTTATATTAGTCTGTAATTTTTTTTTATATTCCACCGGCGGTTTTATTTTACGTTGGTTGCAAGTAAAATTAGTTTAATGCCACATTATAAATTTCTTTCGAAACTATAAGCTTACAAAGAATCTATCGTCGTAAAAGAGTCAGTTGCAGCATTGCTGTAATTCGATGTAATATTACACTTGTTACATTCGACGGAAATAAAACTGAATTTACTGTTTCGCCGCTAAGTCGATGAACGTAAGAGGACAAAAACTGTACTCGACTCATACTGTGATTTCATTTACTTATACAATATCCAAAAATGTATTATTTCGTGTTATTCCTCAAAATCGCCGGATTTAGCATCTTTTTCTTCAAGAAAGAAACGTGCCCTTTAGACTTTGGTTATTTTTGTAGTTTCCACTTTTAAAAGTTGGAGTTTTATCCGGCATCGTTTTCAGGTTTGCGTTAAATTCACGATTGACAGTCGCGATTAAAGTTGCCGAATAAATACCCGATGAATATCATCCAATTTTATTTCAACCGAAAGAAAGTTCTAATATCGAGAGCTCGTTCTCGAAACTCTCGAGTGAACAATCATTGAAAGCGAGACTCTCCACTCTGCTATCGGGGAACGTTTTGAGAATCGTATTCAAAAAGTAGAGCACTAAATGTTCCACCGAAGACACACTTAATTCCGTGTTGACTGAAGAGACCGTTTCGCTGCTGGAGAGCTAACCGGGAGCGCTGTAAAAACTTGGCCGAAGCGAGCGGTAACCTTGCGGGGAGGAAGAAGAAAAGAAAGTTTGCGGTGGAGGACAGGTACGATCGCACGTCCGTGATCGAGGCGTGTGTGGCGAACAACTTGGGGCCGCTTGTCCGCGATCGATTCCCTCGGGGGATCGAGGGCGTCCGCCGAGACGGGCGCGAGACACGGCCTCGCTACTTCCGGCTCGAACTCCTTTAAAGCTTTCAATACTCGTTTTAAACTCGCGATACATATCCTATTACACAACGGCGTAATCGTAAGGGCTATCTACGGAACGCCGCGCCACTCGCACACTCGCGACTGAGGGAGCGCAGCGGGGGAGCTGGGGAAGAGTGGCACGAATGTGTTAGTTTACCCTGACGTATGCACACATATTACACGTGCGAGCGTGCCTGTTATATGATACACGTAAATATGTACATATCACGCAGATTTATTGCCGCCGAGACTGAGGAGTTACGCACCTGACTCTTCGATCCGCGCGAATGACACCCAGGATTATCTTCATTTCGAGATATGTTCCTCTCCTTGCCGTTGACGTTCGCCTCTCCGTCCGACTTCAGCCTCCTCATCGTCCTATCATTGGCCTCGTTCTTACACCTCGCGTCCGTCGTTCCCTCTCTTTCGGAACCTTTCGATTCAGTCGCTCGAGAGTCCGCAATTTGATTTGATAACACGTACGCTTCCACGTAACAAAATAGAGAAGTTAATATTTTACATAAATGTCCCTATTCAGCTCGATTGATCTCGTTCTCACAGGTTCACCGTTGAAATCGAAACAGAACGGCGATATCGCGCGGGATATAAGGTGGGATCGCGTTGCACGAGTTTAACTTTGCCCGGGAATGAAAAATGTAGGACATTTTAATGCTATACCATCGAGAATAGCATCGAATTAAATTATACCGAATTCGGTCCCTGAATTTAATTAACCTGACACTCACCGATCGATTCTTCGATTCAAGTATCACGATCAATATATGCTCGGCAATGCACATTCCCCGTCTTCAGTCCTATCTGGTTCATCCCTTCCGCGAGTTTCCGATGCATTGATTAGGTCTACGAATTACGAATAAGCCACTCAAGGAAGACGATACGTCGTCGTCGTCGTCGGCGGCGGCGGCGGCGGCGGCAACTTAAGCCCATTCGAAGTTGTTTTCGCCGCGCAGAGCCGAGCAAGCTGCTGAATAGCCAATGAAGATTAAAGCTCGCGGGCTTTTATACCTTACGCGGCCTGGCTACTGGACGTAGCGGCTTCTTCGCACTGATCAGTCAAAATTAAAACGTAGTACGTTTGGAGATTAGCACCGAATTCCCTCAATTCCCTATTCTATCTATCGTCCTTTCGCGGCGGCTGCACAAACAACTTCAATTTTATGGTCATCGAGCGTCGATCGTACATAAAAACTCTTCTTCTTCAAAGGTGAATGATTGCGAGAGATCGCGTTACGAGAATCGCAACGTGCGAGCACTGACAATGGATGCCTCGATTAGGTCCTTCAGAAGTCCTCGGCCCTTTCCCGGTTTCTCATCACCATCACCATCTTCGGCAGACGATTAGAAGCCACAACAGCGGCGACACGAGGACGAAGAGCCGTCGCGGATAAGGATCAGCGCCCGAGCTGGCGTTGATCGGTCGTTTCTTGCCGACGCGGGTCGTGGAGGACGGCGTGGCGAGCGATGGATAACCCACGTGTCCGTGGACCGTGTTATCCACCGGTAGTGGCTTGTTCTCCATCTTGTCCATCTCCGCCGAACCGAACTGGACCTCGTCCTCCTCGTCGTAGAACGGTGGCCATGTTGGTGTCTGCGTCTTCGCCGGGCCCGAAATCTCTGAAACAAAAAGAGGAAGATACGCGCGGTTTCGATCGGCCTGGCGAGACAAGGCAAGCGATCCGCAATTGGCAAACTATTCTAAAACGTGATGAATCGTGGTGACGCCTTTCGGTTATTGGCGCAATAGCCGACGTGCATATTTAACAGCGACTTATCAGTGAGCCACTCGTGACGATGCCACGCGAGTCGAAAACCCTCTTCATTGTATTGTTTCGAAAAGTAGCAGCGGCGCTCGTCCGAGAGTTCTGACGCTACAAACTTTGTCCATCGGGACTCTCTTGAATAAGGGAATAAAGGTCAAGCTCTGGATTGCTTGCAGACAAGACAGCAGCCGACCACGTACGCGTGCTGCACTCATGCGCGGAGTTTGGTATCAGACGGCAGTGGACACATATGTGTATCCATACGTGTATATATAGCGTGTTTCCTCAAGTTTCCTATCGGACTCTGGGGGAATATTCCGCGGCGAGTCTCGAGGAGATTGCCTTGATAGGATCGATCGCATTATCTTCTTTAGCGAATTTAAAATTCCCGCGACCTCACGGTGGTCCCGGCTAACATTAGCAAGTAAGAAATGCAGGTGAGATGCCTCTTGTATCGTCATCTTCAAATTTACGTACGCAAATATGTCATCCTTACGTCCGCCGCACCGGATGAAGATCTCTCCCCCGTTCTCGAAATCGATGGCTCGATAACACGCGACGATTTACGTACGCGAAGGGCGCCCCGCACTCGCGCCAGCCTTATCTTCTCACCCTTCCGCCCCGAATGCCCCGAGGGGGAGAGCTGTGAGCCAGCTGAGAAATCCGATGACGCGCGCGCACGCGAAAAGATGAGGATTGACCGAAGGGCATCTGCCGCTGATATAGAGGCAACTCCTCGGCGATTTCCGCCCGCAAAGTGACGATGCTTGTAAACGCGGGGTGTGTTTGCCGTGAGGAGGAAACCCTCTTATTCCTATCGTCCCGCGATCAATCACGGGCCGGAGGTAGGCACGGGACGGCGATCCGCCAGCGGCGGCGGGTCGAGACTCGAAACAGCAATTTCCAACGCCGGGTACAAGGGGGACTCGTTAACCTCGCGACCTCGCCGCATTAATGTAGAAATAACAGGCCGTGCGCGAGAGCAGATCCCGCCCCTCGCTTCGCTCCCGCGACAGCTCGCGAGATACCGTGTTGTAACCGAGTTGTAGCGCGCGGTGAAAAATCGTGTTTTCGCATTGTAATTCGTTCATCGCGAGTAGTCGAGAGCCCCTTGTTACTCGGACAGGCTCGAGATCGTTCCGCTCACGAGCCACGCATGGACGTTCAGAGCAATTTGCATGATTCCTCGATGATCTGAAGCGTCACATTTCTTCTGTCCAATAAAGCTAGTCGACGGAAGCTAATGAAAATCGAAGGATCTTGCAAATCAAACTGTGAAGAATAAAAAAAAACGAATCAGAATCTGCTTTTTCATTTTTTCATAGCATTGGCGGATTAGTTTTTAGATTACTGGCAGTTTAAATTATCCGTGCGTGTTCAAAATCGTTCCGTTTACGAGCTGTACTTGTACAGAACAATTTGCACGGTCTCAACAGCGTATTT